TTGTTTTTCAGATACTCTAGTCGCTCGCGAGCGTCTACTCCCTGTTTCTCAGATTCTTTAGTCCCTTTCGAGTTGTTTGCTCCTTGTTTCTCAGATACTCTAGTCGCTCTCGAGCGTTTTCTCCTTGTTTCTCAAATTGTCTAGTCCCTTTCGAGCGGTTTGTTCCTTGTGTCTCAGAGACTCTAGTCGCTCTCGAGCGTTTACTCCCTGTTTCTCAAATTTTCTAGTCCCTTTCGAGCGGTTTGCTCCTTGTTTCTCAGTGTATCTAGTCGCTCTCGAGAGCGTTTACTCCCTGTTTCTCAAATCTCTGGTCCCTTTCAAGTTGTTTGCTCCTTGTTTTTCAGATACTCTAGTCGCTCTCGAGCGTTTACTCCCTGTTTCTAACATTCTCTAGTCCCCTTAGAGCGGTTTGCTCCTTGTTTCTCAGATACTCTAGTCGCTCGCGAGCGTCTACTCCCTGTTTCTCAAATTCTCTAGTCCCTTTCGAGCGGCTTGATCGTTGTTTCTCAGATACTCTAGTCGCTCTCGAGCGTCTACTCCTTGTTTCTCGAATTCTCTAGTCCCTTTCGAGCGGTTTGCTCCTTGTTTCTCAGATACTCTAGTCGCCCTCGAGCGTTTACTCCCTGTTTCTCAAATTCTCTAGTCCCTTTCGAGCGCTTTGCTCCTTGCTTCGCAGATACGCTAGTCGCTCTCGAGCGTTTATTCCCTGTTTCTCAAATTCTCTAATTTCGAGCGGTTATCTCCTTGTTTCTCAGTGTTTCCCAAATTCTCTAGTCCCTTTCGAGCGGTTTGCTCCTTGTGTCTCAGATATTCTAGTCGCTCTCGAGCGTTTACTCCCTGTTTCTCAAACTCTCTAGTCCCTTTCGCGCGGTTTGCTCCTTATTTCTTAGATACTCTAATCGCTCTGGAGCGTTTGCTCCCTCTTTCTCAAATTCTCTAGTCCCTTTCGAACGGTTTGCTCCTTGTTTCTCAGACACTCTAGTCGCTCTCGAGCGTTCACTCCCCGTTTCTCAAGTTCTCTAGTCCCTTTCGAATGGTTTGCTCCTTGTTTCTCAGATGCCCTAGTCGCCCTCGCGCATTTACTCCCTGTTTCTCGTCCTTTTCGAACGGTGTGTTCATTGTTTTTTGAGTACTCGAGCCGCCTTCGAGAGTTTAGTCCCTTTCGAGCGGTTTGCTCCTTGTTATTCAGATACTCTAGTCGCTTTCGAGCGTTCTTCCTTGTTTCTGAAATTCTCTGGTCCCTGTCGAGCGGTTTGCACCTTGTTTCTCAGATAGACTATCCGCTTTCGAGGGTTTTCTTCCTGTTTCCTTTTCGAGCGGTTTGCTTCTGGTTTCTCAGATACTCTGCTCGCTTTCGAGCGTTTACTTCCTGTTTCTGAAACTCTCTCGTCCCTTTCGAGCGGTTTGCTCCTTGCTTCTACTCTAGTCGCTCTCGAGCGCTTACTCCCTGTTTCTCCAATTGCCTAATCCCTTTCGAGCGTCTTGCTCCTTGACCGTGTTTCTAAGATACTCTAAACGCTCTCGAGCGTTTACTCCCTGTTTCTCAAAATCTCTAATCCCTGTCGAGCGGTTTGCTCCTTGTTTCTCAGATACTCTAGTCGCTCTCGAGCGTTTACTCCCTGTTTCTCATATTCTCTAGTCCCTTTCGAGCGGTTTGCTCTGTGTTTCCCAGATATCCTTGTTTCTCACAGACGTTAGTGGCTGTCGAGCGTTTACACCCTGTTTCTCAAATTCTTCAGTCCGTTTGGAGTGGTTTGCTCCGTGTTTCTGAGAAAATCTAGCCGCTTTTGAACGTTTGCTCCCTGTTTCTCAAAGTCTTTAGTCCCTTTTGAGCGGTTTGCTCCTTGTTTCTCAGATACTCTAGTCGCTTTCGAGCGTTTACTCCCTGTTTCTCACACTCTCTAATCCCTTTCAAGCAGTCTGCTACTTGTTTCTGCGATACTGTAGTCCTTTACAGTCCCTTTTGAGCGGCATGCCCTTAATTTCCCAAAAACTCTACTTGCTTTCCCGCGCTTGCTCGCTGTTTACCAAATTCTTTAATCCCTGTCAAGACACTCTAGTCGCTTTCGAGCGCTTACTCCCTGTTGCTCACGTTCTTGCGTCCATTTCGAGCGGCTTGCTCCTTCTTTCGCAGCTACTCTGGTCGGTTTCAAGTGTTCACGCCCTGATTTCCCAAAATCTTTAATCCCTTTCGAGCGGTTTGCTCCCTGTTTCTCAGGCACTCTGGTTGTTTTGGAGCGTTTACTACATGATTCTCAAATTCTCTAATCCCTTTCTTAGATAATCTAGTCGCTTTCGAGCGTTTCTCCCTGTTTCTCAAATTCTCTAGTCCCTGTCGAGCGGTTCGCTCCTTGTTTCTCGAATACTCTAGTCGATTTCGGGCGTTTACTCCCGGTTTCTCCAATTCTTTAATCCCTGTCGAGCAGCTTGCCTTGTGTCTCAAATACTCCTTTACTCCCTGTTTCTCAACGTCTCTAGTCCTTTCCAGCTGCTTGCTCCTTGTCTCCTAAATTCTCTACTCCCTTTCGAGCGTGTACTCCCTGTTTCGCAAATTCTCCAGTCCTTTCGAACGGTTTGCTCCTTGTTTCTCAGATGCTCTAGTCAATTTCGGAACGCTTACGCCTTGTTTTTTAATTCTCCAGCCCCTTTCGAGCGGTTTGCTCCTTCTTTCTCAGATTCGGGCGGTTTGCTCCCTGTTTCTCACATTCTCGAATCCCTTTCGAGCGGGTGTGCTCCTTGTTTCAGATGCTCAGTCAATTTCGGAACGTTTACGCCTTGTTTTTAAATTCTCTAATCCCTTTCGAGCGGTTTGCTCCTTGTTTCCCAGATACTCTAGTCGCTTTCGGGCGGTTTGCTCCCTGTTTCTCAAATTCTCTAGTCCCTTTCGAGCGGTTTGCTCCTTGTTTCCCAGATACTCGAGTCCCTTTCGAGCGGCTTGCTCCTTGTTTCTCAGATGCTCTATTGGCTTTCGGGCGTTTACTCCCTGTTTCTCACATTCTCTAGTCCCTTTCGACCGGTTTGCTCAAGCATTCTAATCCGAGCTTTTTGTGCCTCGTTTCTCAAATACCCTTGTCCCTTTCGAACGGTTTGTAGCAAGTACTGCAATCCCTTTCGGGCGGTTTGCTCTTTGCTTCTCACATACTCTAGTCCCTTTGGGGCGGTTTGCTCCGTCTATCTCAAACACTCTAGTCACGTTCGGGGTTTTTGCCCCTTTCGATTGGTTTGCCGCTTGTCTTGAATACTGCAAGCCCTTTCGAGCGGTTGGCTAAGTGTTTGTCAAATACTCTCGTCCCCTGCGAGCGGTTTGCTTGCTGCTTCTCAAATACTCTAGTCCCATTCGAACGGTTTGTCCTGGTTTTCAAACACTCTGACCGGTTTGCTCCCTGCTTCTCATATTTTCTAGTCCCTTCTGTGCAAAAATGTAATCTCTTTCGCGCGGTTTGCTCCTTGTTCTCACGTACTCCAGTCGCGTTCGAGCGCTGTTTCTCATATATAGGCCTTTCGAGCGGTTTGATCCCTGTGCCTCAAGACTGAGTCCCTTTCGGGCAGTTTGCTCCCTGTTTCTCAAATATTTCAATCCTTTGCGAACGGTTCGCTCCCTGTTCCTCGAACATTCTAGTCACTAGAGTCCCTCTCGAGCGGTGTGCTCCCTGTTTCTCAAATAAGCTAGTCCCTAGGGTTTGTTCAGTGTTTCTCAAACACTCTAATCCCTTTCGGGCAGTTCGCTCCTTGTTTCTTAAATACTGTATAGTTCCTTTCGAGCGGTGTGCTCCTTCCTCTCACATACTCTAACAGTCCATTTCGAGCGTTTTGCTCCATGAGCATGGCCGTAATCATCGTCGTCTGGATCTAAGTGTATGCCCGTCAGCAGCCCGAAACCCCAAAAGCTGAAAAAGCTGCCGGGCTGTGCCTTGCTTCGCCACCTCGCGGCCTCGCGGCCTAACCTCACTTTCACCTCGCGGCCTCGCGTCCTCGCGGCCTTGCGCGGCACCTCACCTCGCGGCCTCGCGCCCTGACCTGGCGGACCCGGCTCATTGTCAAGTCTGCTCCGGGATTTCAAGGCTTTAGGAGGATAGGGCTTTACGGGTTTAGGGTTTGGGGCCTTGGGGGTTTCGGGCTCAGGCTTTAAGGCTTAAGGTTGAAAGTGGCGTATCGGGGTCTTAACAATTCGAACTGGGGCTTTGGGGTCTATGCAAGTATAACGTCATTGCACTCAGGAACCCCCTAAGACGATCGTCGGTGCTGCTTCAGGCTTGAATATCTTGGGCTTGTGGGCCTTCTAAGGCGAGGTCTGGGCTGCGTGTGTTTGGGGTTTCGGAAGCCACGCGACCATGCCCGAAGCCCTAAACCAACACAGAACCCGGGGCTGTAGTCCTAGTGACGATGAATTCCGTCCACTCCGAGACTTTGCACTGCCGGGATATGAACACAATCTCAGAATCCCGGCTCAACACTTCGGGCACAAACGAAGCAGCAAGCTTTTTTGCAAGATATCGATGGCAAGGCTCTCCGAAAAAGACTCCTCCTTAATGCCCTTTTTGGAATTCTGGAAGTCGACCCATGTAAACGAACACCCAGCCAGGGTACTGCGCTGTCTGACTCAGTGTGCTGAGAAGCCAATTGGAGCACCTGGGTTTCGAGGTTGCTACAGCCGGGCAAGGTTTTCGCCACGGGAGTCGCTTCATGCTGCTTTGTACTTGGTTTCGGGTGGCATGGCACGTGAACGCCAAAGCCTTCAACGCCTAAGCCTAAGCCCTACACCCAAAACAACCCACCTTCACATCCCACACAGAACACCTTTTAAGCCCGAAACCGCAAAGCCCGCAAGGCTAACAACATCGGAGCGCTTCTCCAACACCGCTGCTAGAGGTGGTGGCAAGGGTACCACGGCCGCCACAGCTTGCGCGGTGTAGGCCGCGAACTTGCCCAGAACCTCCCAGATGCTTGGCTTAAACCCTTAACCCCTAAACCCTAAACACTTCCTGAAGTGCTTTTGGAGCCTTGGGCTTGAGTTGAAGGGAACGTCCCGAGCTTTGGGCTCGAGTTTGCAGCTTGGGGCTTTTGGCCTGAGCCTGAACTCAACAGATCAGAAGCTTGGATGCTGGGACGAATCAACACCCGCTTTCCGGACCTAGCTACTAGAGAGGTCCGAAGCATCCCCTGATAGCCCCTATACAGGTGAGCGATCATCTGCCCGGAAACCTTCTTTTGAACTGTGTTACGGCCCCTATGAAACCAGATTTCCCGACAGCTCCGGCGGGGGCCTTCCAGTTCATCTTGTCCGCCAGGAGCTCCTTGATGCCTTGGTTCTCCAGTCTCTCCCCGATAAAAACAAAGGTACCCACAGCTATCCTCCTATTCTTCAGCCTTAATACGAAAGCCGCACCAAGAAAAAGAGAAAGACAAAACTACTCGGGAACCAGATGCCGCTCATCAGACTCTGAGAAGCCGTTGAGCATCCCTGCCTCGGAGAATCGAAGCATGCCGGGTGCTGAAGTCGACTGTGGTTTTGGTGGTTGAGCTCTGTCAGTTATTATATAAATAGCGCGTGTAAACAAGTACACAGGAACGTGCATCTTATCGGGCTGCTGGTTCTTGTGGTCGGAAAGTCTAAGTATGCTGACGTCGGCCCAAGATGCGACAGACATCCCTCGACATAGAGGGCGCAAAACCAAGAAACGTGGCTGAAGAATGGACCTGAACGCTGAAAGCACAACTTTTCACCTCCTTTCTGCACCCGGGAAGGCTGTAATCTGGAATTGAGATTCCGAAACTTCTCGGTGTCGATGATCGCGCTCTCAGCTTTGCAGAGCCAGCCTGCCACCTCCAGGGCATCCGCTGGGCTTCGGGACTGGCTATTTCATGACACGGCTAGTCTAAGCTTTCGTCTCCAGGTTGTAAGGCTCTTGGAATAGCGTTGGGCTCAGAATGACGATTTCAGTCTGCGAGGAAACGATGGTCTCCATGATACGCGTACCCACGAAAAAAGAATACAGGCCAGTCTCGGGCTTGTATGCCTCAAACACAAGCCCCTTTTCCTCAACTCCCACAACGGGTAAGCACCAGCTCGACACCACTCTTGTTCTCACTGTTCTAAGGCCTCGATAATGAAGTCCCAAACTGAAAACGCTTTGAAACATGTTCGCGAAAGAAGCCGCGAGCATCGCCATCGCCGTCAGGTAGGGTGGCGAAAGTCGTCAACATCCACAGGGTGGTCACATAGGGTTGGAGATTTAGGGTTTTCTGGGGCTTGGGGATTATACCCCCCAAAACCCTAGTCTCATTATTAAGGCCCCTATACCCTAAACCCTTAGCCCGTATATTGAAGCCCTGATCGGATCGCCTCGGGATCTGCCGATGCCAACTTCTCCGAGATCTTCGCAACGAAGCCTTCGGCATCCGCCGAAGCACAGACCTCCAGGGACCCCGCCCTGTGAGCTTTGAGCCCAAGCCACAAAAGCCGCACGGGTGAGCCCAAAGCTTTGCAAGCAGATCTCGAGAAACCCTAAAGCCCTCTGGAAACATTGAACACGGTTTGAGGCTTAGGGTTCAGGGCTCAGGGTGTAGGGTTTAAGGCTTAGGTTTTAGGGTCAAGGCAAGATTGCAAACCTGGATCACCAGGCGAAAAGACTCTGTTCCACTGTACATCGTATGCCACGCAGTAAGTTTGAGCCTCATGCCCGAAAACCAAAGCCAAGCACGACAACCTCGAAGCTCTTGCAAACCCTTAAGCCTGAAACAAAAACACTGCGATCGCAAACATCTTTCTGAAGCGCAGACACCAAACGCGCCAAATGATCAACCCTTTAACTCCCAACCGTATATTAAGACTAATGATGATAATCAGACTATAATGATGAAATATATACTAATAAAGTCGTAAAACAATACTACTAACAATAAGACATACTATAGTGCAAATAAGAAGAAGAAGACAAAAACACTAATAGTAGTATCATTGTTATAATGACTCTTCATATTCGCATCCATAGTAGTCTTAAATGTTTACCATACGCATAGCTTTAACAATAATAAGTTATAAGACTACTGAGCTCGGAACAATCGAAACAACAAACTCGGGAGCCTCCAAGCCTGAAGCCCAAACTTAGCCAACCCCCGAAGCACTCAACCCTAAACCCTTAGGGTTTAGGGTTTAGGGTTTAGGGTTTAGGGTTTAGGGAAACCTAATATCTGAACCCTACACCCTAAAGGCCCTAAACCCTCAACCCTGAACCCTGAACCCTGAACTCAAACCGAACCGACACCCCAACACCAAAAACACAGCGAAAACCCTCAGACCCTTGACAAAACCGCCGCGGCAAAGAACGGCAAGGCTGAAGCCAGTTTAGGAAACTCCAACTCCCAGGTCCCAAGCGCCTTCCTCAAGAACCAAAGACGCACAGAACAAAAGCAGCCACTCCAAAGCAAAACGGTTTAGGGTTTAGGGTTTGGGGTTTGGCACATGCAGAAGCAGCCATTGCAAATCCTACAGGCTGGAAGTGAAACAACAAGTCCTCTCGAGGACTCTAGAAACGACAAGCCGCGAAGCTTCGTTTACCCTCCAAGACGAACCCCAAGCTGTTTCTAACAATGACCCCTAAACCCTACAACCAAAACAAGACAGACCCGCAGCTGCTTTAACACCCTACACTGCGAAACCAAAACTCTACGAGACTCGAAAACGCATCAAGCCGTAGACACTGATGCCAAAACACGACACACCCCAACGCCTTTTACAACCCCTAAACCTTGAAGCCAAAAAACGAACCTCCACACAACCAGCAAAGCCACTTCTGACAAGATAAGACTTTCTTCAGAACTCTCGGGACTGCGAAACTTAGGTGGGGTTTAGGGAGTGCAAAAGCAAGTTATTAAAATTCAAGTTATTGTAGCACAGGAATTAGTCTACTATCTACGAATTATCCCCTATTTTTGATACCAGATTGCCCACCTCACCCAGTTTGCTCGTGTTGGCTGCCTCGCATTTCCTGGGTTGGATACCCTCTTGAAATTAGAACTTGCGCTCCTCCTTAACAGTCCACCATACGAAATCTGAGACGGTGTTCAAGAACGGCCCAGGTTCTTTATTAGCTCTTCGAAGAGGTAGGCAATCAGCCCTGAACCATCCTGCAAGACAGCGGCGATAGTTTAGGGTGTCGGATTTTCAGGTGCTAGCCAGATATGCGGGAACTAGCACAGGAGTCACTGGAGCAGGGCCTCCTCCCGGAGTGCCCCAAGCGCAAGGTGCGGAGCTCTGATGGGATAACGGGCATCGGGACTTCGGCTTGAGCAGATAGCTTAGCCCAACACCCCCCCTAAGCCCCAAGCCCGAAAGCCACAGGGCCCCAACCCCCCCCCCCCTCCACATTGAACAAAACACCACCGCCCTCCCTCTACCCCTAGACTCGTGTTCTAGGGATGGTAAAGACTTAAAGAGATTCCCGCAGGAGCCTCCTCCACCTCCGGGGCCCCGAAGCTGTCGAAAGCCACCAGCTGCCTGACGGCCGGCTGGCATTGAAAGAAATAAATGGGGGGTTAGGGTTTGGGTTCAGGTTCGGGAGATGGGGAATGGAGTTTAGGATTCAAAGTTTGGCCACCGGTGCCCCTGGATCAACATCCTCAACACCCTACCCTACACCCGCTTTTAACCATTAAACCCACATCCCCTGGAAGTTAAACCTCCGCCCGCCCCCCCCCCCGCCCCACTGCCCTAAACCCTGGGCCCTGAACCCTAAACCCCAAACCCTAAATCCCAAAATCCCAAAACCCTAAAACCCTAAAACCCTAAAACTCTGAACCCTGAAACCCTAAACCCTAAATGGTCCCAGACCCTACATTCGGGGGCCCTGGGACCCTGGACCCAAAACCCTAAAAACCCCCTCAAAACCCTCCCAAAAAAAACAGAGAGCCCTCAAACTCGAAAACCGCAAAACCCTAAACCCTAAACCCTAAACCCTAAACCCTAAACCCTAAACCCAAACCCTAAACCCTAAACCCCAAACCGGCCACCAGGAGCCAGGAGCCGCCGTAGCTGGGCCTCAGAGCCGAGGATTCCCAAGGAGACGCCGAGGCCACGGAGAGATCCGCGAGGTCCTGAAGGGCACCCAGTTACTGGGGGCCTATAGGGTTTTCGGGTTTCCCTAAACCCTAAACCCTAAACCCTAAACCCTAAACCCTAAACCCTAAACCCTAAACCCGGTTTGGGGTTTCCTCTTATGGGGCCTATAGGGTTATCGGGCTTAGGGCTTATGGGGCTTATAGGGCTTTAGGGCTTTAGGGTTTTAGGGCTTACAAGGTTTTCGGGTTTAGGGCTCATAGGCTTTCAGGGTCTACGGTTCGGGGCTCCTAGGAGGGTCTAGGGTTTTAGGGTTAGGTTTCGGGCATAGGGTTCTGCGACGAGTCTATAGAAGGGTTCTGATGCAGGGACTCTTACGGGCATTCTCAAAATATCTCGAAAGTTTTCTGTAACGATTCCTATGAAGATGGCTAGAGCTCTAAAGGTCTTGCGGTTGGCGAAATTGGTTGGAGGGCGTCAAGTTTATGCAGGGCTTTAGGCTTTAGAAGGCTTTCAGGGGTCTGGGGGTTTAAGTTCTGACACCTCCGCGGGCAGCGTCTCATGGGTTTGGGGGCTTAGGGAAGCGACACAGCGTTGAGGCTCAGTTATGGGGCTCAAGGGTCGAGTGAGTTTGGACATGACACCCTAAGCCCCAAGTCCAAACCCTGATGCCGAAACCGAGTCCAGTAAGCCCCTACTGTAGCCCCTCAGCACTGATCATCGCGCAGTATATGATATAGACCATAGGTTATGGGTGATACATTATGTACTACTTGAACGCCCGGCACCAAATCTAACTCCGCAAAAGCGCTAGACCCACAGTCCAGAATAAGCCAACACCAATTTAACAGCCAGACCCCGATACGAAACTAACATCTTCTCGACCCAACACCCTTAAGTAGACCCTAAACCCTAAACCCCTTTACGTAAACCCTAAAACCCTTGGTTCTCTTCGACTTCTATCTCCACATCACCAGACAAAGCATAAACCCCTACGCGCCCTAAACCCTTAAGATCCCTTAAGTAATGCTTGATGAATTTGTGAGTGCGCCTTCAGACTGAAGCCACATCGAAAGAGGCCTTAACACTTCAGCCCTCGGAGCCCTCATCCCGTTTGGCCCGAAACCGTCCTGCGCCGATCGAAAGCTCAGAGCTCGTGCGAAAAGGGTGCAGAGCAGCAGACAGGTGCCCGGCACGCCCATGGCTTCACGCTCTAGGGCTGTAGGGCTTTAGGGGCAACCTGAAAACCGAAACCCGAAGCCCTCAACCCAAAACCCTAAAAGCATCAAAACGCCTGAAAACCCGAGTGCTTCGGGGCAGTGGGGAGCTGCCAGTCTTGGGACTCCTGCTTTTCTCTTCGGGGTGCTATTTCCATCTGGGACTCTTCGCATCTGCTCTTTTCGGTAGACTCTAGACTCTAGCCCTCAAGCTGTTCTAAGAGACACCGAAAATCCTGAAACCCCAAGCTCCAACTATCCGAAAAAGTCCGGATCCCTCGCCCATTTCTCCCGACCCCAAAACCCCGAATCCGGACAAAATCAGGGGGGTCGATTTCGCAGACAAGGGCCTGAGCTGCGGCAGACAGCTTGGGTTTGCAGAGCGTTCGGGCTGCCCGGGCAGCATAAGGTATGGGGCTCCGAGATTACCTACTCGATCCCACTGCAGAGCCCAATGATCTTAAAGCCTCAGCAGAGAATTCAAGGCTCGGGGAGGCGAATCTTCGCTTGAAGCCGTCACCATGGGAGGGATGTGTGAAGACTCCCCGAACACTGCACCCACACACACACACACAGACACTTACACTTACTGCACGCTGCTAGGAGGGAAAGCCGCATCCCCAATGCTGAGCTTTGTGAACCGGGTCTTGGCTGCGAAATGCATGATGCTCAGCTCGACGACGAGAAAAGCTTCCCGCCATCGTTCAGGAAGGACTTGTGAATTTTGACGACTTGAAGGAGAAGAGAAGACCGCGAAAACCGCTCCAAGTGGCGTTGATGACGGAAGGGAAGGTGCAGCTTTCCATTGGCTATGGCAACTGGCAACCCTTTCGTCTTCAAGAAGTTCAGCATTCACCTACATGAAACTTTCTCAAAGCTTCGTCATGACACTTTCCATCAGCTTTCAGAAATCAAAGGAAGGAGCAAAAAAGCGGAGCATGCACGCTGACGCTGGCAACACCGCGTGCCCCAGAGCTGCAGCGCAAGACTCCACGTTACAGGGCTTTGGTTCCCGCTTTTGGCTAAGGAGCGACTCTGTGCTGTTTGTCCGCCCTAGATCTATAACCAATAACCCTAAGCCTCTGCCCTTGGCGATCCTGTCCTGCGTGATTGCTCTCTGGGCACAACATGCTTGTAAATATGTGGCAGGAAGATCTCGAGATCTTTCAGAGTCTTCGAAAAGACTCGCCTCATCTTGAGGGTTGAAGTATGCATAATACGAATCATACGATCAGTGATGGCTGCAGAATGGTACTTCAGCAGTTGTAGATGCACCACCATGCTGGTCGGGGAAAGCTGGGGCGGAAAGATCTGACTTCCCCCCCCTTGAGTGCAGACGTAGACCATTTGGGTCAACCTCCACACACGCGCACACACATCCTTCACTCCAAAGCAGCATCAGATTCTGCAGGCCAACACTTTCAGACTAAGATCAGAACTATGAACTGACACTCTCTCGATGTGACAGTGCCAGCTTTCGCATGCCCGCCAAGCATTGCCCGATAAACCGCACGTCCCAGAGCTGCAGTTCAAGACTCGCGTTCACGGCTTGGGGCTATTCTGTATCCCCAAGAAGCTTACCCTAAAACCGAAACCTCCTGCCCCTAGTCTAGCCGTCCTGTCCTGTCCTGTCTGACGGCTCTCTGTGCCCAAAGTGTTTTGCAAACAGTGGCGGGAAGATCTCGGGATCACTCAGAATCTCGAGAAGCCTAGGCTCATCTTGAGGAAGGAAACTGAAGTTCACACAGTACGGAGAGCATATTAGTTGCTCGAGGCCTTGAATCATGGTAACTTCACTTGCAGAACCCAATTAGAACGACATATTCCGTGCAAGTGCCGGGCGGCATTGGCACCGGCTACAGGATTCTTGGATATTCTCGGGGGCTGCTCGTGTCTGCTTCGAGGGATACACGGCTTGAATGGCAATTCAATCTTCACACGCCCGCCGAGAAATACACGCGAGAAACCACGTGTCCCCGAAGCTGCAGCACGTGGGCTTGGCTCACAGGTCTGTCGTATCTACCCAAGGATCGCACCATAAACCTTAAACCTACAACCTATAGCCCTGAGTCTTATGCCCTTAGCCTTCCTGTTGAGGCCTTTACTGCCTGAGGGCTCTCCGGGCCCAATGCGTTTGTGAATAACTGGCAGGAACATCTAGGGATCTCCTGGAAACCTGGGTTCTTCTTCACGCAGCTTTTTGAAGTGACCAGAATACGGAGAGCATTGGGCCTGAGGTAACTTCACTTGCGTCAGCGCATCAGAACCCAGTCGAAACGACATATTCCGTGCATCTGCCGGCGGCATTGGCACCGGCTACAGGATTCTTGGATATTCTCGGGGGCTGCTCGTGTCTGCTTCGAGGGAGCGGATGTGGGATGTCAGGACTACACAATGTGAATGTCTGTGAAGCTTAAGAGCTGGCCCCCGATCTCTAGTCCAGGGGAGTGAGGTGCGAGGATCTGCAGCTGGAGTCGTAGGCCTGACTGTGATTTGTCACTGCTTCCTCCTGCACGCTCGCCGCTGCTTCTTGGGGATGTATGCTTCAAGAAATGGCTCCATGGCTTCGGGTCGTGGTCACGCTGGCCTGCGCCTCAAGACAAGCAGAGCCTCTCCCTCTGCGCAAATACATGCAACAAGCATGTCTTGGGGCAACAGTTCGTTGCACCACCATCGAACAGTCTTCGTTCGGCATGCAGGGTGGGCCATGTCACTAGCTCGGCTCAGCCTTATGCTGTTGCTGCGTATGTTGGTCAGGATACAAATGCAACATGTGAGCACATGCCGTCACCACCGCTAGGATGCCATGCAGCATCCTGAGGGCTCTGTCTTGGTGAAACCGTGGTGCAAGAATTACGACCATCTCAGAAGCACTGATCCTCTGAAGGGCTCCTTGGTGCACAAAAGATCATATCACAAAACTTGATAATATGAAAATGTGATATAACATAACATAGCATAGCATGTCAAAACATGATATATTGTGATAAAGAACCATATCTATATGTATATAGAGATGACTCGGCGTATTGTATGTAGTGTTTGATATAATGATATACACACACACACATATATATATATATATATATGTGTATATGTACATACGTATGTGTGCGTGCATTACATATATTTAACATGTCCGAGGTATAACATAAACTACAGTATTCTGTACATTGTAACATACTACCTCTGTGGAACTACGAAATCAAGCTAACAGATGACTGTTTATGAAATATATCATACTATTTGTAATGTCAATACATTGTATATATATATATATGTATGTATATATATAAGCAAGTATGAAAGCAAGCAGGCAGGCAGGCAGCCAAGCAAGCACGCAAGCAAGCAAGCAAGCAAGCAAGGAAGGAAATAAGTGAGCAAGCAAGCAAGGAAGCAAGCAAGTAAGCAAGCAAGTAAGCAAGCTAGCAAGGATGTATGTATGTATGCATGTAGGTATGCATACCAAAATATACAATATGTAAGACCTGATATATGATATACATATATGTATATATACAAATCTTACATATATAGTATGTATATATATATATATATATGTAGTATATAGTATACACTATGGACAAGCCTCAGCTCACCGACTTCACAGCCCGAGGCCGAGGCTGCTTTTCCGTCTCATCAGGGACCTGAGAGCTTGGGCTCACTAGCGGCTCAGTACGATTTAGGGCTTAGGGCTTAGAGTTTGGGGTTTACGAATGATACGACAGTGTGGCATGCAGGCGGAAAGAACGACCTAGTGCCCACACTGACCTCACACTTTGACAAAGATGACGTCTGAACAACCGAAGATCGCAAACTGCCTGCAACATTTGCCGAGGCTGCCTCGCTTGAGAGCTGAGGCTGCTGCATCAGTCTGACCCACCGGCTTCCTTGCCTTTCGTTTGGCCTGCCACAGCAGCACCGAGAAGGTCTTCTTTTCTTTGGCTTGTCCTGGCCTTGATCTTCATCTGCCTCGGAGATGCAGCCTGTTAGTACTCCCAAGTCACAATACCGGTAAGGCAGGGCAATACAATTCGACCGGCCTCTGCCAAACCATGGTGTGGAAACTCCACCACCTCCCCGACCTCGCCTGCAAAAAGCTGTCAGCTCAGCCTTAGCGAGCTTCACACAAGTTCAACAACACGCAGGCCTTGCAGGTGGCTCTGCGTGGGATCCTGCCCACGGAGCAACGGTTTGGAGGTCCACAACCGCAAGCAGAGAGCAACATAAAGTCGGTGCCGATTTCGTCGGCCTCTAAGCTCCGATAATCTTCCGTTCGGACCGGGGCTAGACGCTTTTAGAACGCTTGAACGTCTTTTCCAAGCTCCTCAGACCTTTACAAGCCCTCATAGCCGTAAACAATTCTGCGCTCCAGGCGCTCACAGGTGCTTCGTTCGAGCAAAAGTCGAAGAGCCGAGTCTCGTTCAGCTTTCCGGTGCTTGTTCCCATATACCTCCAAAGCTCCCACCGAGCCCATAATACAAACCCCCTCAGCCTCTCATAGCCTCGCTTGCGTATACAGTATGAGCTGTTGAAGAGTTTGTTGGGCTCTGCCAGGGCTGGTGCCGCCATGCTTCATGCTTCGTTTTAGGGGCGTAGGCGCTTCTCAATCCTACCCCCACGTCATCTTCAGCAGGCCTCTAGGCAGGTGCCTGTATCGACAATCTCCGCACCTGCATGCTGCAGGCTTGTGTTAGTCTTCTTTGGTAAGACGCCTGTCGAATCTTCTTCATCAGCACGGGCTGCAAACAAGCCTTTGATGGTGCAGAGAACGCTTCAACAAGGCAAGGCAGCCACCTCCGACGACGATGGTGGTGGTTTCCACCTCAAGGAGGCAGGGGCTTTGTATGGAAGCCACCTAGCCCCAAACCTTAAACCCAAAACCTCTCATTCCAAAGCTCCGCGTCGCTTGGGCTGACGCGCTTCCGTCGTCACTGTGGAATGTGCCGGTCCCAAGGCTTCAAAGCCGAATCGACCCTGGGACAGTTTGAAGCTCCTTCAGGCCTCCCATTACAAATACCTTGTCTCCGGTCGTGCTCTGCGAAAGAGTCCGGATGCAGGATTCAGGGTTGCCAGACATCGTCTCCGACTCCCATCTCCAGTTCACACCCGCACAGCGTCCATACGGGCTCCTGGTTTGATTTCTTGGTCGCTATTGCAGGTGCACTGGCCAGGAGCTTAGCTCGCAGTCCGAGGGCGACTGACTTGTAGTCCTGAAGCCATCTTACCGGCCTCGTAGCTGGGGACATTTGCCATGCGCCTTTCAGCCTCTGAACTGTGCTTGTGGCCAGCAGGGCCATCCACTGTGTCTTGCTGTGGTTCCGGTTTGTCGCCATTCCATGCTTCTCAGTGGGGTTGCACATCATCCAAGTGTATGTCGATGGCACACGCCCAGACTGTCACACCGGTGCAAAGCAGAATGCAGGCGGGCTCCTGTGACCGTGTACTCGCGTGCAAGAAGAACTTGACGTCCGACAAACGAACACTGACTGCAGACCTAGCGGCTCGTGGCCATCGTAAGAAAGTACCTGAAACTGAGCCTTGCGAAAACATCCCCCTGAATTTCACGGAGCTTCGAAGAGTATTAAGTTTCGCCACAATATCTGCTCCGTCCTATTTCTTCTTTTGCTACAGCGTGTGTGTGTATATATATATATATATGTATATACATTTATGTATCTTTCCTTTATGTATTTATTCTATTCTGTATGACATGCTTGGGCTGCTGCATCAGTCTGAACCGTCGGCTTCTTTCTCTTCCGTTTGGCCTGTCGCAGCAAAACCGAGAAGCTTTCCTGTGCTTAGGGCTGTCTCGGCCTTGAGCTTCATCGGCTTGTGGGGCTCGGCCTGACTCACCCATCAGCTTTCTGAAAAGCTGGAGCTGTGCCGCATCCACACACTGCAACAAATCTTGGGAATGGCGCACAGAGAATCCTAGGGCGACCTACACCTCAGACATGCTTTAAATGGCAAGTTTGGGCTCGTGAGTCGCGGAACGGAGCCCTCAAGCCTGGACCTCCAGGAGGGCACCAGCCTTCAGCGAGCCTGGGCTGTGCAGTTGGCACGGTAATGTGACACACCCAGGCCGGTTAGAACGTGAAGACTAGGGAACTTCTCACGGCACGGCTGCCTTCCGCTGTGCTGACGATGCTCGCCAACTGCGCAGAAACACCAAGCATCGGAAGTGGACAAGTTGTCAAACGAATGTCCTGGCCTGCCTTCGCCACTAGTCTATTGATGCTCGAATCCGATGCATGGCCTCATCGGGCGGCTGACTGACAGCATCGTCCTGTCAGGCATGTCGTGTGAGGCATGGGTAAGAGAAGAAACAATCTCGAAAGGCTAGAGCCAAAACAGGCTAAGCAAAATGCACGAGCCCGGCATATGTCTCGGGAAGAATTTCATTCTCAGATGACGGCAGTACCCTGCGACTCAGGCTGCCACATTTTCGCTGTCAGTGAGCAACGGCAGCTTGCCTGCCGCGGCCTCCACTCAAACTCCGGCAGAATCACAAATGCTTTGCTGTCTACCCTCATCAGCCAAGCTAGCAAGTAAGCAACAAGCACATGCATGTTGAGGCGTCATAGCCCCTCCCAACAATCCCGAAACCAGCGTGGCCTCATCGAGCATCTGACTGACAGCATCGTCCTGTCAGGCATGTCGTGTGAGGCATGGGTAAGAGAAGAAACAATCTCGAAAGGCTAGAGCCAAAACAGGCTAAGCAAAATGCACGAGCCCGGCATATGTCTCGGGAAGAATTTCATTCTCAGATGACGGCAGTACCCTGCGACTCAGGCTGCCACATTTTCGCTGTCAGTGAGCAACGGCAGCTTGCCTGCCGCGGCCTCCACTCAAACTCCGGCGGAATCACAAATGCTTTGCTGTCTACCCTCATCAGCCAAGCTAGCAAGTAAGCAACAAGCACATTCATGTTGAGGCGTCATAGTCCCTCCCAACAATCCCGAAACCAGCGTGGCCTCATCGAGCATCTGACTGACAGCATCGTCCTGTCAGGCATGTCGTGTGAGGCATGGGTAAGAGAAGAAACCATCTCGAAAGGCTAGAGCCAAAACAGGCTAAGCAAAATGCACGAGCCCGGCATATGTCTCGGGAAGAATTTCATTCTCAGATGACGGCAGCACCCTGCGACTCAGGCTGCCACATTTTCGCTGTCAGTGAGCAACGGCAGCTTGCCTGCCGCGGCCTCCGCTCTGTTCTTGGATCTACAGTCAGAGTGGCTCTGTCCCACAAGCTTGACAATGAAGTGTCTACGCCCTCTCTCGCCAAGTCTCTGGCAGCACACTAACCTAAATCTAGCTGACATGGGGCATGCCCGGACACATCGTTTGCAAAATGGAATCGGTTTGGAAGGCTTCAGAAGAACATGGTGCAACGGCCTTAGACAGGGCAGACGAAACAGTACAGCCGATGGACTTGGTCCTCAAAGTTGGACAAAGCGGCATCGTCGTTGCCCTGCGCTTCCTTGAGCATGTCTTGCACCGACCGCATGAGGTCGTCTGCATCCGCCTGTTTCGAGCTCGCTCGCTCTTTATGTGCCTTCCTCTTCGAAGCATATTTTGCTTGCCTTCTGGAGCATCGCGAACATCTGCACCGTCTTGGCGAAGTCATCGGCGAAGAGCTGCCATCGAGCAGTTGCCTCCACCGTTACACAGAAACCAGCCAGCAGCTAGCCCGGAGCTTGCATTGGGGACGGAAGCTTTGAAGGCACTAGCCGCCTCAATGGCAACAGCTTCTACGTTCCCCGGGAGGAATAGACCGATGCCATCACTCCAAACAAAAACCAGACGGCATGAGTCAACACGACGGATCGATGTTTGTGTTCCAGTTTCCAGCTGTGAGTCTGTTCAGTTTGTCTAAGCACACCTTTGCGTGGCACGCACACTTGGCCTCTTTCGGACCCAAGGAACCCGCGACTGGTACTGAGCTCGATTCACTTTTCAATCTGGCGCAAGGAAATATCAACGCACTCGATTCGACACAGTATCTCCAATCTGGTTATGTCCCACCCATCACTCCGAAGCAAGAGCAGATACGAAGACCGAACGAAGCCTGTGTTGCGAGCTTCTGGGTCTCCCTCTTCCAGAAGCTGCAGATCAGAGAGTTCGCGAGGTTATCGGGCAGTGCCCGGCAAGCGACAGCCAAGGCACACAGCACACTCACGTTGGGGATGTTCCCGCCATCGAAATCTGAAAGCCAGAGCTGCACAAAGTCCTGGTAGGCCTTGCTCACCGCCTCCTTTTGAAATCCGACGGAAAGCCTCAGCAAGAGCGCCGAAGCCTTTGCCAGCCTTGTCAGCAACCAGCCTTGTGGCTCCGCAACAAACAGAGCTAGTAGGGTAAATCGGCTTAGGGCTAAACGCAAAACCGGCTGCTGCTAGTACTAGTACTGCTGCTACTACTACTACTACTACTACTACTACTACGACTACAACTACTACTACTACCTTTGAACATGATCTGCAAGTGCGTGCATCCCAGGTGCTGCGATCCGACAGGTAGCGAGGTACCTCCGTCCAAGTATCACGAGCATGTCTTACGAAAAAACGAAGCCTGGACCGCAGCCCGTCGCACGGACAAGACCCTCTACTTCATGTTCATCACGGTTCAACCCAAACTTCTGTCTGAGAGCCGTCTCCCAAACCTGAAATCCTAAACACCAAGCGAAAATATTCAGGTTTAGAAACCCTAAACCGTAAACCTTCGGACGCACCTGGATCTGGCTCCTCCGTGTGATGATGTTGGGACTCTGCACTGTTATGGACCAGTCGAAGGCCAGGTGAGACTCCGGCTGGAACAAGGGCAACAAGAGGGCCACGCCGCTCTGCTTCAGCTTCGCTAGGAGGCCTGTGCCTTAGTCCATAGCCCAACTCTTCGACTGCAAGATCTTGCAAATCGTGGGCAGGGGAACCATGCGAGGGAGAGACTGGAGGCAACCACTCTGCCGTACCTATACTCCGGATGCAGAGTGAAAGGCGCATGCGAATTCACTTCTATAGTCTTCGCGACGAAATTGAAAACCGGAGACGTAGGCTGAGGTTTCCTGTAAAGGTTCGGGACGATCTCCTTTTGGGTCCACTTTGTCCCGGAGTATGTTGCCTGTGCTGTGGGGTCGCGAAGTCTTATGGAGATTTGAGATTTCAAACCCCAACATGATCAACTCGCCACGGCATCTCATTACAACGACATTTGTCTTCGCACTTGTCGAACAAGGTTGGACACTTGAGGCCGAAGACAATACTTCTACTGCACAGAAGCAGCCGGGGCACCATCGGACGTGATGAATGAGCTCCGGGAGGCAAGAGGATGACAAAGCGCGATCTTCCGCTCCTGTCCCGTCTTACACAGAACCATTAGCACTCGCTCTCGTGACCAGCCAGCAGGAGTCCATGGTGCAAGTCGATGTGTGGATACATGAGTCCCACCCCCCCGCCCCAAAGGTGCCAGTTGGAATTCCTGTCGTGGATGCATCAAAACCTGAGCCTGCTTGGATTGGATGGAACCCGATCTGCTGATCAACGAGAACTAGACTATTCAAGTCGGATGCAGCGTTGAGGACTTCACCCCGTCCTCGCCCATCTTGGGCTTGCTGCTCAGCTTCCCGGCAGCATTGCGCAGGGTCTGACCGATGATATGCAGCACCGCATAGAGAATAACTGACACCAGCATCACCAGCAACGCAACCTGAGCGGTGGACAACGTTCATTCGAGTGGCAATGGGAAGCTTAGTTACCAATGCACGGACGCACCTTTCGAGTCAAGTGGCCGACCAAGCCCAGATGCTCTCTGTGGGTGGAAAGAATATCAGTAGCACTGCCACCGTGGTGAAGAGCACAAAGCGTGCACCGAGCAGCAGGCACTCCAAGAAGTCCAAAATCTCTGCTTGCGAGTTGGAGTACGGCTTCAGCCAGGCCGTTACGGCGAGTTGTATGCCCGAGTTTAAGGCAAAGAGCAGCAGTTTTGCTTTGTCGTCGGTGGTAACGGACGTGGACGCGATCAGCAACATGAGGCCAATGTCAAGCCGCTTTACCACCAACTCCCAATACCTTGGTGGTTCTGTCGCCTTCGAGCTATCAAACCGTTTGATGGGCTTGCGACACATACTGCAACTTTTACGGGGAAGTGCTCACAACATCTCGTCAGAACTCTTTAAGGGCAAGGCGCCAGAACCTGGGCTCTAAGCCTTCAATGAAATAGCCGAAAAGGCGGCGGTTCTCTGGCTCCTGGCGATCGGTCAGGAGCCAAATCCGAAGGAACAAGGCAAGCGGGATGCCGAAGCACCAGAGCACCAGGCCACTGACGCCCATGGCGAAGAGTGTCCAGTGCTCCTCCTGCCAGCACTCCACGTCGGGATGTGCATGCAAGCGCTGCACCATCACCGGCCCCTGCCGATCTTCGCGAACCGAGATGCATCGAACCGTCTGCAAGAACTGGGACATCAGCTCTGGCCACAAGGCAAGCTGTGTGAGCCATATCACCGGAACGCTTTGCCTCAGCAGCGCCATCGGTCCAGGCCAGGAAGTGAAGAGCGCGAGGTCCAGCCTTGCCGCGCTCCCTTGGACCTCTGCCACGAGCTCCGACTCCCGGAGCCGCAGATGACGGCGAGCGCGCTTCAGCAGCGAACGTCCGCATTCGCCTTGCAAGTCGACGAGCTCGCCGACAGACTCTGCGGTGCCGGCCACCTCCACGACAAAGTCTGCCTTGTGTCGAGGTCACGAGCTAGAAATGGTTGTGCCACACAGATCTATAAGGCATCTGTCAAGAGTGCCTCAGCTCCTGAAACGATGAGACGAACAGCCCAGCTCTCTGCAGTTCAGGTTTTTGGAGATATCTTGTGTTCTTATCTTCACGAATTTGTCTGCCCACGGGACTTCGGCAGGGAGCATGGCAACCCAAAGTGCAGGCACCGACACATACGGATCTCTGATGTGTTTAATGTTCTTTGTCTCTTCTTCAAAGTTTCAGACTCCACATGACAGAAACACCCCAGGCCAACAAAAATCCCTGAACCCCATGAGCCTTTGGGAAGCCTCTGCGGTCAGCTTCTGCCTCAAGCTCTCCTCCACTGCAACTGCTTGGGCCGTCGGGAAACAGGACTGAAAGTTAGGTCTGTGCTGAAGACCTAGCCAAGTCTGATGTCAAGATATTCAAGGCATAACAGCTTGTCACCAAACTGTGTGGCCAGCAATACAAGCTTGGCCTTGCGAAAACGCACCCGATAGGAGGGGCAGTTAAGGGATCGCCGATCATGGGTCCGTCCTCGCATCTTCCATGCCAGGGCACCGAGGACCTGGGAGAGACAGAAAATCCATCCACCACGAAGCTACGGCGGCTACGGTAGGGTCGGCCGTCTAAACGAACGCATCGCGGCATAGCAGGAGCGGCTGCTCTCAGCAGCTGGACATGAGAAAACGAACACACGGCTCGGCGAAGCATGAGCTGAGGCCTTCGGCTTCAAGCCATGTGCGGCTATCTCGCCTTTCTCATCCTTTCGCCAAGATTCGACACTTGGACGAAGCTTTCAGGAACAACTTGGTTCATCTGAGTATCACCAGCATTCAATTCGTAGGTGAAACCCTGTCCTGCCATGCTACAAAAACCTCTAACAGCCAAAGCCGAGAATGCTGGCCCGACTGCGTGGATGACCCAAGGCGGTCGTGGCTAATGTTGTGTCCGACACAATCGCGCATCCCCCATGAGTAGCGAAGTCGCCACCGGCTGCAAGCAGCCACACTGCTTTTAGCTTCAACCAAGACAGCGTTCAAACTACCGGCCATGGAAAGCTCTCTTGTTGGCATAGGCCGTAGTTGAGGATGTTCTCGTTGTTTCGCTGCGTGGTACGCAGGTCAATGCGCGCGGGTTTTGACCACGTGTTCTGCTGCAGGCCGACCAGGTCGATGCAGTTCGGTTTCTCGTTGAAGCAACGCTTGAAGTTGACACTGAGAATGTGCAGACATGCCGATCAGACCCAGCATCAACTGTGTTGGGGTCCATTTAGTTGGGCAGCCAAAAGGATGGCTTTAAAATTCAAAGGGCAAAACACCACGGGAGGAGAGGGGTTCCTCGCCTGTGAGCAAGCGTGGCTTCCACAGCAGGCAAAATCACGCACACACATACAAACAAAGTTAGAAGAAGCAAGCTGAGATATATTTACACACACACAAACGCAATGAGCCATTGAGGCAGGCACCAGCCGGCGCAGAGCTTTCTCGGAGATCAAGCCATCCGATGCCTCAGGCGGTCACAGGCCTACGGAGGCTGTGGAACCACACCCTGCAAGGATGCTAAGCGGTCGGCAGTTGCCAGAAGCTGATCATCTTTTATGCCTCCAGCGAGAACGACATCTGGGACCTCGTCCAAGTCGACCTTGCAGAAATCAATATCCGATAGCCTAGAAGCCCACGCATTACCCGCATTCGCCTTGTCCCAGACTCCCTGCGGGAACTCTTGCAGCAGACGACCCGGGGCCGAGTCAGGGCTTTCGGCAAGGTCCTAGCAGCTCCAAGGCTCAAAGGAGCGGGGTTGAAAGCGCTTCTGTCCTGCCTGCTTCATGAGGCTCAGCTGGCCTCGCACTGCCTTTAGGGCTGCTTGCTTCTTGGCCTCCTTGCCGTCGGCTTCCTCGGCTGTCGCCGTAAGCAGGCTTTGCATTGGGCTTAGGGGATTCAGACGAGGAGTGCTCACTGCAGAAGTCACTGTCACCACCGTTCTCCTCTGCGGCCGGGAATCATTGAAATGGAGCCCCAGCATCTTTCCCAGCGGCAGCACGGCGTATACCACAAGGGCGGAGAGGAAAAGCGTGCCGAGAAGAGTCAGCACCGGCAAGCACAGGTAGTACAATACCGGTGCACTCCGCTTTATGTCCTTGTCGTTCGACCAGGTCTCAGATTGGCACTCGGCCGCGAAAGGGACCCTCGCCCGAGGAATGACTGCTACTAAAGACAACACTCCACGCATAGCATCGGACACCGCTTGAGGCCACGCAAAGCGCGGAATTTCGCCGCACTCCGCATCGCAGTTCACCTGCGCTTCTTCCTGAGACCACGAGAAGGGCTGCAAACGATCCAGATTAAAGGCCAGCAAGATCTGGCATGCTCCTATCCAGGCCTGCACCATGCGTATCATGCAGGTATGAAGCTTTAGTGAGCTTCCCGAACCTTTCGCCGCGAGAACAGTAAGCACGAAGTTCAAAACGGTGATTCGCGTGAGGTCTGCCAGGACGGAGGCAGCGAGCAACCACGCACCCTCGCCCGAAAGGCAGGGCTGGCAGTATTCCAAAAGGGTACCTCTGCCCCAGCCCTCCGGGCACTCCCCACACATCACACCAGAAGAGCCCTCTGCGCATTGGCTTCCCACAGGTTTGCTACAACCTGCAAGAGTTGGATCACGCTTGCACTCCGGAGAGAGGCCGCTACAGGCGCTGTCTCCGCTTGGTAAGACAACGTGGCATTGGACGGCCAGCGTGCTGCCAGTTTGGAACCAGCCGGCAATGGATCTTGGCTGGGTGTGATTCCTTGTGTCTTCATGGAAGTAACCCGGGCACACCAAGCCACTGTACAGAGCACAGGAAGCACAGCGAGATAACTGGCCCTTGTCCGTCTCTGCCACATGCCCGGGCAAACAGTAGCAATCATCCAGTTCCGTGGAGCCTGGGCTGCTGTCTGCATTTGCCGGGCACGTCAGGAAGCAAACTCCGCTGCCTACACTCGGCTTGTACCTCCCCGACGGGCATGGCTCACAGAGCCCTACATCACGGCCAGCCTCGTATCCGGCCGTACAGAGACACTCTGACATAGACCGCGATCCTTCGGAGATCGTAGTTGAGTTTGCTGGACATGGGAGTGCGATGCCCGAGCCGTTGCAGAAAAAACCGATCTCGCAACTGCGACAGTCTCCCTCATGGTCGTACAAGCCAGCCCCACAAACGCACTGATGCACCGAAACGGCACCACGCTGAACAGTCGATTGTGGAGTCTCACACTTGCTGCATTCTGTATCTGCCAGTGCAGATTTATACTCACCCTGCGGACACAGTCCGCATGTTCCAATCTGCGCATCGAAGCCATAGCCAGGCAAGCAGAGGCAATCGCTTGCACTCACGATCGGGACGCCCGGAGGCCTGGCTGAAAACTCTGGGCAGAGGATTGTCACCGACGACACCTCGGGAACTGAGGTCACTTCGATGGTGAAGTCGGACAAGTCCTCAGCCAGCCGGACCGCATCGCTCATGTCACCAACAAGCACGCTCACATCCGTCTCCTGTACAGAGCGGTTGGCCTCGGCCGCCGATGTAAACTTCAGCAAGATCACAACTGATGGTAAATCTGACAACCTGCGGCCGGCATCTGCCCAAGGTAGCATGATCTCCACGGCGCTAGGATCCATCCTTGTAGAGTCTGCGATACTCCGGCGCAGGGTAGCAATAAGCTCACGCCTGACATCTGGATCAATCCAGTCAGTGCCAAGAGATATATTGAAAGTCATGGTTGCTACATCTGAAGCATTGCTGAGGCCGGCTGCTGTATTCAAGTCCACCATGCTGGAGCCTCCCTCCTTTGCAACAGGAGGAATACACGAGGAACTGGACACGGAACCGCCGAGAAGAGTTGTCAGATTCTGCGGACAGGCATTACAGGCAAAGGCATTCCCCACATCAGCTTTGTAGAATCCTCTGTCACAGGCACTGCAACTTCCAGAATCCAGAAAGTAGCCAGCCATGCACTCGCAGTCAGAAGCTGCAGAAGCACTTCGCTGCCGTGTGGTCTCATGCTCGGGGCAAGGAAATCTTGTTGCGGACCCTGGGCTACCCCCGGGACAATAGAAGCCGCGTCCACATGCAGCACATCGTGAAGCTGTAAAGAAACGTCCCTTTGGACAGTCAATTTGCAGCTGGCCAGATACCGCCCGGAAGGACGAAGCGGACGTGCAGCCATGAAGTCTTGGACACCAGCAGATCCTGTAAGTTGCAGCGATTGTCGATTTGGGCAGCTTTCCCATGGACACCTGCAGTGCCTTTCCACTTCTTTGGAAGTAAAAGGGCTGCTTCAGCGACATGAAATCACTGATGTTTCCGGCAGAATTGTCACAAGCACCCTCAATCACGATCATCGCATCACCTTCCTGCAGATAGATGCCTGACAGCTCTAGTGTGCAATTGCTCCCAACACTGCAAGTGGAAGTCTGCCGAAACGGGCCGGATGCTGTCATGAGCCCGACAGGTGCTCGGAAAGCAGTGGCAGTCTCACACTCTTCATCTGCAGTTGGCCTGCAAAAGCAGAGTCTGTAAATCCCGGCAGGTGATAGCAGCAGGTTGGACTCGCCCTGGAATTGAAATGTGGCACGGTCCTGACACATGTCATGGACGCAGGAAGATTCAAGCCTTACACAAAGCTTTTAATCTTAGCAGCTGGGGAAGGACAAAGAAGCGAGGGAAGGCAGGGAGGGAGACAGAAACAGCGGGAATGGCAACATGTGAAAGCGTGGGTTGGGTGGGTTTAGAGGCACAGGGCACCATGAAAGCCACACACGTGGGTGTCTCGGGGGGCGGACCCAAGAAGGACCTGAGATCTGACTGCAGTGCAAGCAGAAAAGCCCAGCCTGGGCATACTCTGCGATTCCCCGGCCAGGGAAGCCTTGCACCAGAGATTCCACACCACAAGCAGAAAGGACCATGATGCGGTCTCCATGAGCCGCGTGGACAGACCGGATCCTCAGAGTGCAGGGTTGCCCAACGGAACAAACGATCTCTTGGTTGGCACCAGGACCTTCGATCTGCAGTTTGCCAGCTGGTACCAGAAAAGCCAGAGGCTGGCTGCATGTCGACGGAACATCGTTCCCGGACGCTCCGCACCAGCAGAGATCATATCCAGCCTCGCTTGCATCCATGATCAAACCGTGGTCCAGACCAAGCTCGGCGTCCGAGGTGCCGAAATGGAAGTGCAGGGAGAAATCGGACTCTCCCGTAGGCTCAAGGCTTGCGGTCCCGTCTACATTGGCTGGGGAGATCTGCATCACGACACTGCCACCACATCCACCGGTCCTAAGAGACAGGCGATCCAACGAGGACAAACCGACGCCCCGGAAGGGCTCGAGACCAACGCAGTCCTGTCCACGAACACATTGAAAAAGCTGGTCGCTGAATGGCCCCACAACCTCGAGCTGACCTGCGAAAAGCTGAAAACTCTCCCAGGTGGCGCACAAGAGGCCAGCCATGTTCGCACACCAGCAGAGCCGGTAGATGCCGCCTTCTGGCAAGAAATCCGCAGGGCCGTCGCCGCATGTGTAGAGGTTTGCGTCACCACTGGCTGGCTTGCAAGTACCATCACCATCATTGGCTATACCGGCCACAGGCAACTTTGCTCCGCCACAGTCTTCCGACGTGAAGAGTGCTAGTCGGTGACCGTCTCGAAGATGAAACCCGCTTAGTGGAAAAGAACAAGCCTTGCCTGAAGTGCAGCGAAACACCTGATCGCCCTGCGGACGAATGCACAAGTCTTCAGTCCAGGAGCCAAGGCTCTCTGTGGTGGACCCGGACGGGCAGGCTTGACAAGATGCATCAGAGGCAGCACCAATGACAGCACTCCACGTCCCAGCCTTGCATTTGCTACACGGCAGGTTGCCAATGCCACTCTTGTACTCACCTGCTGCACAGGGCATGCAGACCTCATCCAACAGGAACGTTCCTGCGGCACACATGCAGTCAGTGCGATCGCTGGCAACATCCACGACCGTGGTCTGAGACTCTCCGCACATCTCCCGGTGCAAACCTCCCATGCAGAAAAAGCCAAAGCCACAGGGCCCACATTGTGAGGGGCTGGTCGAAGTATTTATAAATCCCGGTGCGCATGTGCAGGAATCCGATGCCACGGCTCCGGCCTGCGATGTCGTGGAGCCATATGGACACATTCGGCAGGTGGCTTCCTGCATATAATGTCCAGCCTCACACAGGCAATTCGAAAACTCACCTTGGCTGCATGAGAAAAGTCGGAGTCACAGTTACACATACTCTGTCCGGCTACAACTTCGGGCGTGCTGAGGAATGGACTGGATCCGGCCACTGCAGTGCTCCCGGATGGGCAGCTCTCAACACGGTGGCCATCGGGGCAGAACGAGTCTTTTGGGCAGATCATACACGAACCCCCAAACTCATGACGCCCTGGAGAACAGTGGACTTGCAATTGAAATGCCACGGCTTGGTGATCCTCCGACGATGCACATGGACGACCTTGTGGGCACCAGCATAACTGCAAAGTCTCTGGTACGCCATTCAGCTGCAGCTCCCCCAGCTCCACCGTGAAGGCATCGATGGTACGATCGACGCGGCGAACAGCACTCTCGTGGCGAAAAGTCACGGACGCATTGCGAGATCCACATTGGCTCAGGGCGATCACACTGTCAGTCACCGACAACCCCACGCCGCGCCAGAGCGAAAAGACACAGGGCTGACCCATAAAGCAATGCAGAGTTTGGTTGGCATAGGGACCCTCACTGATGAAGAAGCCAATGGATGAGGTGAAGTCACTGGGCTGATCACATCGCGAAACATTCTGGAAACAGGAGCACAACCTGTACCATCCAGGTTCCACGTGGAGTCGGCGCGAACCAGTGTGGTCATCTGTGAATGTGAAGCTCTGGCCATCCGAACTCACAGCTGAAGCCAGTGACTCTGAATCCAAGCACGATCGCTTCACAGAAATCCACACACCAGGAAGCGGGGCATCCATCACAAAATCGCAGTCTTGGCCCACAGGGCACTTCGCGACTGCGCGTGATTGCTCAGTCGAAGGGAACCGCCAGAGGTCGTCGAAATACGCTGCACCGGAGCCTCCGAATGTCATCAGCGCACTGGAAGCCTCGTCCCAGACGCCTCGTGGGTCTGAACGCGGGGAGGGGCCGACCGTGGTTGCAAGCTCTGACCAGGTGTCCGCCAGCAAGTCAAACCTGGGAGAGGCTGAAGCTTCGTGGGGCATTGCACTGCAGTGCCGTTGCACTGCACATGAAGATGCATCATGATGCATCCGAGCGGCCGGTACAGCTTGCCATCGTAGCTCAAGTTGCCACTGACGTTTTGAACTCCAGCAAATGCGAGCATGGACATGGCACCCGGCTGCCAGGCTGCCACATGTCGAGCCCTCGGAAACGGGCTCCCTGCTGGAAAGAGCTCCCACCAACGGTCCGCCCATGAGTCATACACGTGAAGGTCCTGCAAGTACGCACTGCCACTCCAGCCGGCGAAGACGATCATGGACCTTGTCACCTGACTCAACAACAACAAAGAAGGACCAAGGACACCGAGCCACAGGCCGAAGCACAAGAAGAAAGCAGAAGCAGGCAAAGCACCCGATCCCAGACCGCAGAGTGCCAGCTCCTTGGGGCTGGGCCTGAGGCAGCGACGCTCCAGACCTTCCGAGGTCTGCGATTCACACGCGACTCAGTGTGCTGCTGATTTAATTCGGCTTAGGGGTGTATGTTGGTTCCCGCCTCGTGGCTCAAACTGCACCTGACGAGATCACCCAAAGCTGCGCCGTTCTCGCCTCCGAACACCAACATCGCACCAGAATCGACGTCCCAAACGGACGAATGGTGGGCGCGTGCTGCTGGTGTCATCTTGAACAGAAGCTGCCGCCAGGCCCCCATGGTGCCCAGCTCTGCCTGGTATTGCCAAAGTTCATTAAAGTGTCTACCGAGGTGGACACCTGCGAAAAGGAGCATCGATCGACTTGCGCCGTCCCACACGGCGGAGTGGCCTTGCCTGGCGGTCGTGTCTGTGGTCAGTTACCCAGGCAAACCCTGCGCTCTCTGTTGACAATACCTTGAGAAAGACCTTCCACTTTCGCAATCTTCGGGCACAACAATGGCGCAGTTATCAGGACAACTTACAGACAAGCAATGACAAGCAGCTCAAGGCACCATACACCGCGGACAGAGTCAACATGGAAAGTTGTTCCGTTATTCTCCCTCTAGGGCCGTGGTCAGACCCTTGCATGTTTGAGAACTCTTGCGTCAGTCCAGGCCTCGTTGATGGACCACTGGCTGCTAGTAAGGTCCAGGCTCGGGAAGGCCAGTGATATTGCCAGAGGTCCTGAAAGTAATCGAAGCTTCGGCCAGCCTCACCCCCAAAGATGAGAGCGCTTTGCTTCTCCGCATCCCAGACCATACTGTGACCATGCCGGGCCCTTGGCCCTGCCACAGTGTAGTCGACCCACTCATCCCAGCCGCACTGCACTCCTGCTGGGAGGGTTGCCCCTGGAGCGGCCCCGAATGGCGAATGGAAACCCCGGCTCTCGTGGCGCACAGTGTATTGCATTTTCAATATTCAGACAATACGTTCGCCAATGGACCTTGGTGAGACCTTCATTGACACTTCGAAGTATTGGGGCAGTAACGGACACCTTCACAAAACTGCATCTATCGGAGTCCGCGTCTGCGGAGCTGTCGTGTGCAAGCTTAAAGCGTGGTTTCCAACTTGAAGTTTTAGTATGTTGTGCAAAAGACGCCTTACAGAATCAGGAATCTTACCCCTTAAGGGCATCACCCCTGATGCTGGCATCTGAATCACGGTTTGGCGATCTGGGTGCACGGTGCATGCGTTTGGTGCGCACAACTCAAAGCTTCGCGCCTGCGGCTTCCTGCGGCCCGCAGTCATGGATCTGCCATCCCCGGAAAGAACAATCACCAAGACTCGGTTCTTCCCCGTTGCAACTGATGTCATCGATGGCGAAGTCATTATTATTGAGCACGAAGAAGGAATTCAAGGGCCTGCCCGCAGCCAGGCCCAAGTCCTGGCCACAACTTGGCTGAAGTAAGATGTTCCCGCTTGAGCACGAAAGATAGGGCGAGGAACGTTGTGAGGGTAGGTGATTTGGGACCTGACAAAGGCCCTAGATCGCTTATGTCACACAGAAGTTTGGGATTTGTCAACCGACGTCAACCGCAACTCCCGCTAGCTCCTCCAGAGCTAGCTTTCGTGAATTTGAATGACGGGCTGATGTTGCGGGCTTCCTCTCCAAACTGCCCGGAGTTCGGTCTTAAGCAAAAGTGCGGGGTCCTTGCAAGCTACGATGGCCGCGGCCGCGTCAAAGCCATCATCGCAAACCGGTGACCAGGTGCCCTCACGCAGCACTTCGAGGAAGCCCCAGGTCCTAGAGCCTCCCGACAAGCGCACGGACTCCAAGCCTTCGGCTCTTGGCGTCCGAGTGCGGAAAAGTTGGGGCAACAGAGCTGCTCCATCCTCTGCCGACTCCTCGCCCATCGGCACCCCTAACTGGCCATGGTCGTTCGCACCGAAGCAGGAGATGGCGCCTCCGCTCTGCAAAAAACAAATGTGCCCATCGCCCATCGACAGGCTTTCCGCCTTACCAACGAGCACTTCTCCGGGGCTGTTGTAGATAGGGATTGCAGTGCCTCGCCCAAGCTCCCGATCCCGATTGCGACCCCAGCACAGGGTTCTCTCATCCTGCAAGATTGCGCAGGAATGATGCGAACCGACAAAGATCTGTGTGGTCGGAAAGCCGAGGTCGACATCAGCTGCCTCGTGGGCCTCTCGACTCACGGTGTCACCAAGCCCAAGCTGACCGTCCTCATTGTGACCCCAACATCGCATGCGTCCATCTGCCAGACGGATGCAAGCATGCTGTTCGCCTATTCCGATCTGCGTCGCCTCCAGCTCGAAGCCAATGGTCGCAAGCGAAGAAACATTGCCGACAATTTCCCAACTGGGGAACTGCCGTCCCCAACAAACCACCCCCTCAGAGGAAAGGGCGCATGAAGTTCGGAAACCCGCAGTGACCTGGGTTGCTCTGAAACTGCCCAGATCCAAAGTGGGCAGTGCATCTCCCATCTGCCAGCTCTGCTCTCCACGGTTCCTTGCAGTAGCCACAGGTAGAAACAGAAAAAAGAAGACTACATAAGCCACGGTCCGTCATTCTCTAAGCTGAGGTCCCGGCATGCTGTCTCCTAGGCCCAGCTGCCCGTCACCATTATACCCGAAACACTTGATGGCACCGTCATGAAGTAAAACGCAAGTGTGTGAGGAGCCACAGGCAACCTGGCTAGCCTTTGTGCCATTGCCCAGATCGACAGCAGGCAGCCACTCCCCCATTTCGTCGGGATCATCACCGAGGCCAGTCGTGTTTCCAGAGCCTATCTGTCCATGAAAGTTCGACCCCCAACACTTCAGGGAGCCGCCTTGAAGAACCGCGCAGGTGTGATTGGCTCCGCCACAGGCCTGCAAGACCGTACCTCCAACGTCCACCACCGGCAGTTGCAGACCGACCTCTTCTTGGTCATCGCCTACGTCGTCGGAACTGCCGTAGCCCAATTGCCCTGCGCTGTTCTTTCCAAAGCACTTGAGCTGTCCGAAAGCCAGGGCGCACTGGTGATTTTGCCCACCAACTAGAGCCATGGCAGCCGGCATGGCGTGGGCGTGCTCGTGCGAATACAACGAGACATAGTCAAGGGCCACGAAGGAGGTGCTGGTGCTGAAAGCGGGCATATAGAACGTGAAGCGCACACGATTAACTGTTGATGGCAGGCGCAGCTTGACTTGCTGCCAGCCCACTCGCTGGCCGACCTCAGTCCAGCGCACCTGCCAAAGACCATAGCTCCACATCTCCACTTGCAGACTCAAGGCTCCCCATCCTCGCATCCGGAAGGCAAAGGCCAGGTAGGCCACATCGGCACTTGGGAAAAGCGGGCTTGTCAAGAGCACCTGCACAGGGACATGAGTGAGATGCTCAGAAAGGCATGGCCTACGTTTCTTGTGAATTCACAAGGCACCTCTGTAGCTGTACCAATCACGAAATTCTGCGACTGCGATGCAGAGGCGAATGCCTGGCCACGAAACGCCGAACTGCTGCCGTCATTTCGCAGCCAGCCCCCTGTCCATTTGCAAAACCCCTCCTCGAAGTCGCACCCTGCATCCTCGAGGCTGGGTGCAAATTGCGCCATGTCTAACTGGAAGGAGCGGATCTTCACCAGATCTGTTGTGCTGTTCATGGTCGCCACTAGGCGCAACGCCTGCGTCTGCACCCAGATCGGGCCCGTGAGCTGCTGCCAGGAACCGAAGGAGGCGATAGCTGCGGTCTGGAGATGCGTCCAACCGTTCTCGGTGAGTTGCTGCACCTCCAAAGCTGCCGTGGGCCCCACAATTTGGTAGCTGAGAAAAAACGCGGCCTCGGAACCAACGGTGCGGATCTGAGCACTTTCAAGTACAGCTGTTTGACTCTCGGCCCCCCTGGCTTCCAAACCGATGTCCATGGCTCTCCACGTGCCTCTGTTGGGACCAACACTGCCAGGCTCCAACCAATAGATGTTGACCTGAAAGTTCTCACAAGCCAGCTCTTCCACCCCGACCGCTGTGCGGAATGCCCGAACTGCCAAGTCTCCGGTTTTCCCTTCTTCAAGGAATCCGCGAAAACGTAAGCCTGTGCTGGTGTCCGGGAAAAGGGCTGCGCCTTGATGCCAAGAAGAACCATGACTGCCAGAGAGTGACCAGACAGTAGTCCAGTCCTGACCATTCCAAGCCTGTAGCTGCAAGCTGCCGAAGTCACCATCCAGGCTGTACATGAGGTAATCAAAATATAGACCATAGCCCTGTGAAAAAAAGAGGCTCTGCAAATGGAACTCCTGCAGGGAACCACAGAGGCACTCAGGGCAGCAATTTCAGTTGTCTGACCCCAGAATAGATCTAAAGCAGTAGAATCCCTGTTGCATGGTAAGTTACCAGAATGCGAAGTCGGTGCTAGCGGACTTGGAGGTTGGCTCCTATGCACAGGTGTTGACACTGGTGTCTTACCGACCTGCGCTGCACGTGACAGTGCAGGGTTTCGAACTAGCACAGGAAAACTCTGAAACGTTCGAATAACTCAGGCCTTTGGATCGCCACGGTCGGTGACATACCTCGCAGTCAAGTAGAACCCGTCAGAAAACGTCTTGGTGCTGTACACACTTACAGAGAGTGTCTCCTCAAGAAACTTGTACCCGCTGTTGCCCCAGCTCGACGAATAGCACCAGCTTAGCCATGTTCCAGACAGTGGGGGCGTAACATCGTCGCTGTAAGCGAGGCCATAATAGGTGCACGATCCATCTCTGTCCAGATCTTGGGAAGCAGTGAGCGATGGAACGTCCCGGTCAAAAACCCACCTTGGTGAATTTGAGCTGCCATCACAACTGGGATCGTGGTACAGGTACACATTGGCACCTGACTGCCTGTAGTAGGCCCGTCCACTGTGCGTCTGACCCTGCAAATCGTACGTGCCATCCAAGACTGAGTAGCAGCTGTTCACATGCATCTGCAGGACCACTTCGCTGACCTCGCAGGGAGGCATGAACATGGATCCAATGACAGACCTTTGAGAATAGACGCAGCCCCGAACCTGGTCAACGGTAGCGGTGGATGTCCAGTCGCATGCAGCAGCCGGAGAGCTGCACTCAACGATGGGAACTGCCGCGGCTGCTTGCACCTTGTCTAATGCTATATCGCCTCCATATCCTGTCCCGGTCATGCCCAGGAAGCGAAGTGCTTGTGCATCATCCGGCAGTCTGATGAGAACATGATGCCATCTGTCACCCTGGTTTCCGGACAGCGACCATACTGTGGTCCAAAGCATACCGTGCCAGAATTGCAGTGTCAGCTGGCCCATGGTGCCCCCGTACATGTGGTAGTGGAAATGTACGTATCTCGCTGCACCGTCACCCCTTCTGAAAATGGGGCTTTCCAGCACAAACACCTTTGCAGATCACTTGGCACGACAAGCACGGTACAATGCTGCTGTTCCGGCTGCGCCGGTGTTAACATTATAAGTTCGATTTGCGGGTAATGACTGGATTGCAACAAATAATTATTCTGATGGGAATCTGTCTTTTGATCTGTACCGGAATCTGAGCAGGGAGGTTTGATCAGACAGATCTGACCCGGAATCTGACTTCTAACCTGACTTTTGATCTGACTTTCAATCTCCCTCCTTCCCTCCCTCCTTCCTCCTGCCCTCCACGGTCCGTGCTGGAGCCGAGTGGGGCCAAGTCGGGCCGGAGACGAAAGCCCCCAGATTCAGGGTCGGATTTTGGGGGGGCCGGGCCGGGAGTCAGATTAAAAGTCAGATTCCGGAACAGAGTCCGGCCGGAGTCAGATTCGGAGTCAGATTCGGGGTCAGATTTCCTGGGTTTTCCCAAGGAATCTGACTTCGA